GATGATGATGATGATGATGATGATGATGATGGATGCTCTGACAGTGTGAACGCATGGATCCTATTAACTGTTCCATCATGGAAATAAGTCCTTAGAATAGTTTGGTCAGAAAGTGCTTTTAAGATAAGCCCTACAGGGCCAGCAGATGGCATCATCCATTGTTTGCTGATGCATCTCAGTAATCCAGGTAAAAAATCAAAAAGAAAAAAATTGTATAGGTCTTCTGGACGGGTTCTTCAGGCTTAAGCCTGAATTTTACCTGAAACTCTCAGACTGAAGAAGTCTCTTGGAGAAGAGATGAAACGTTTCATTAGAGAAGAACCCGTCCAGAAGACCTATACAATTTTTTTCTTTTTGATTTTTTTACCTGGATTACTGAGATGCATCAGGACACATTAAAAATTGGCTTCAGTGTTTTTGCCCGGACACACATCAGCAYGTGTCCAGGCCAGAAATCAAACCACTGACAACTGCTCGTCCTCCTGCGCTGTGGTGAACCCAACACACTGCACTTCCATGTGTCTCACGGTCGCAGATTTAGAGTTCAATCCACATTTCRGTTTTAACACTTCCTTTATCCCATGGCCATTTATATTAAATTCAATTTGTAGTTTTATAATTGACCGAATGTCAAAATGCTGAATAAATGAGCRTTTACGAGCCTGTGAGTAGAGTCGTGTTCTGTATGCGTTTGTGAATGTATGTCTTATCTGATAAGTGTAGCCTGTGAGTCCTGTGGGAGGTGTAGCCTGGGGCTGACTCACACTACAGTTGGCTAATTGAACTAACATCTAAATGTGAGCTAAATATCCTCCCACAAATTCAATTAACTTTACCTTTCCCCAGGCTGCATCTGGACACCTCAACAGTCATTTCACTCTACTAAAATTAAACTGGTCATGGGACCTTGTGTGTGTGTTTGTGTGTGTCCTTTTGCTTTTGTTCATTGGGGAGGCAGTTTAAGATTTATACTTTCAGTATAAGAACACTTAAGCTTCACCAGGAGGTTACGTTGGAGAGATTACTTGTCTGTGTGTCAGTGGGATATTTTTAAACCTTTGACAATGGGCCTTGAGCCAAAGAACAATTGATTTGATGTTGGGATTTTAGAACTTTGATGCCAAACTGTGCCGTAAAGTAAACAAAAAAAAAAAATCTATGACATATTGATGACTTGTACACGAAATAAAGTCAAAACGGCACGTATGCCTTTCAACTTCACTTAGATATGCAACCCCAAAATTAGATAACCATTGCCAAAGGAAATACTGCAGGACCTGAGATCCAAGGGTCCATGTGTGGTCTGCTTTGTTTCAAGCTTGTAGAGCTGATTTGAGTCTTTGAGCTGATTTGTGGTCTGATACCATCTCAGTGTTTGCTTGCTTGAACCAACCCAGCTAGCTACTTTCCAGACTCATTTCCAGTAAACTGTTACAGCTCAGCTGCAGGAAATGAGAAAAGTTTAATGAATTCAAAAACATGTGGAGGTGAAGAGAGCAGAATGAGACAGAGATGAAAGGACCTAATGAGAAAAACTAAGAGTGTGCATGGATGGATGGATGGATGGATGGATGGATGGATGGATGGATGGATGGATGGATGGATGGATGGATGGATGGATGGATGGAAAGTGTTCTTTGAAAGGACTTTGTAAATATTTCTAAAACAATGTAGGATTCTTTTACGTTCTATTTAAGAAGAACCCGCCCTGAGGACCTACTGATTTTTTTCTTTTCGATTTTTTTCTACCTGGTTTACTGAGCTGCATCAGGATACTTTCTTTTTTATTGCAATAAGTGAAAAAAAAAATTGGAACATAATTAAAAGGCATTTATCTCACCTCTGCAGAATGACAAGTTATTTGTTTCAGRTTAACGGCTGTTAACATTTTGTTTCCCAACACATTAGTAAAATTGTTAACTATGGCTGCACCTCTGCTGTACCTGACCAGTTACTGATTAACACTTGGAGTTATCAACTTGAAGGCTCATTTGGTAAAGCTTTATGAATAAATGGTATTTATAAACATTTTCATGCAGAAAACAGAACAACAATATATAGCTTGATGTAGTGGCAGAGAAACAGAGGCTTACCATCACATGTAAAATCTGGGGTAGCCACGTCCTGGATGGGAATCTCCTTCAGAAAGGCTGGTTTCTGACAACGAGGGTTTCCACTCACCACCCGGGTCTTCTTCAGCCACTGACCCAACCAGGACAAGTGACAATCACACACATATGGGTTGGAGAGAAGATTGCTGTTGGGGAAAAAAAACAAGTATAGGCACAATTTAGGTTCAATGAAATGATAAATTAAATTAATTTTGTTTAAACATACATCACAATCAGTCAAAATCAGATCAACTCAAAGAAACTGTGGTAAATGGTAAATGGTAAAATGGTACTGAACTTATAGAGCGCTTTTCAAGTCCCTCCGGACCCCCAAAGCGCTTTAC